CTGGAGGAGCTGACGGTTGCAGTGAAACAGATGGCTTCAGGAAAGACTCCGGGAATCGACGGTCTCTCCTCGGATTTCTTTAAGAAATTCTGGAACATTATCGGTTCCGACTTACACTCTGTTTTGATGGAATGTTTTAAAACAGGATCACTTCCTGTTTCATGCCAGCGGGCAGTACTCTCCCTGCTGCCCAAGAAGGGCGACTTGGCCCTTCTTAAGAACTGGAGACCAGTGGCCCTGCTTTGCACAGAATATAAGGTGCTTTCCAGAGCCTTATCTAACAGACTAAGAGACTACCTGGAAGTGGTTGTAAATAGTGACCAAACGTACTGTATCCCAGATAGAACAGTTATGGACAATATTTTTCTCATCCGTGATGTGCTTGATGTATGTAAATTCCACGATGTCGATGTAGGTATTGTCTCACTAGACCAGGAGAAGGCTTTCGACAGGGTGGGTCACGCATATCTGTTTTCTGCACTCAGGGCTTTTGGGCTTGGTGATGGGTTCTTGGCTTGGGTGGGTTTGCTGTACAGTGGTGCTGAATGTATGGTCAAAATGGGAGCTGGCCTGAGTCGACCGATCCCTGTACGGCGAGGGATAAGGCAGGGTTGTCCTATCTCAGGGCAACTATACAGCCTCGCTTTTGAGCCTCTGTTGTGCAGGCTGAGAAGTCGGCTCAGTGGTCTGTCACTGCCTGGGTCCTCCAGTCTTTGTAGTCCCCTCGCTGTGTCTGCGTATGCTGATGATGTAAACATCTTCATCAGGGACCAGGGAGATGTTCTATGTCTGCAGGATGCTTTGTCTCTTTATGAGAGGGCTTCATCTGCACGGGTGAACTGGGAAATATCTGAAGCCTTATTGGTGGGTCAGTGGAGACATCAGACGGTGCCTCATCTGCCTGGAGGTCTTCAGTGGGGAAAAGAAGGTCTAAAAGTGCTGGGTGTGTTTTTGGGCTCTGAGGTTTTTGAGAAAAAGAACTGGGAGGGAGTTAAGGAGAAGGTGTGTGCTCGGTTCTCTAGGTGGAGATGGTTACTACCCCAGTTGTCATATAGGGGAAGAGTTCTGGTTGCTAATAATTTGGTTGCCTCGACTCTGTGGCACAGACTCATCGCTCTGACGCCACCTGGAGGCCTCATAGCAGAGATACAGAGGTCTGTCGTGGACTTCTTCTGGTCCGGCCGGCACTGGGTTCGTGCAGCAGCTCTCTATCTGCCTGTGGCAGAGGGGGGGCAAGGTCTCATCCATATCCAGTCCAGGATCGCCTCTTTCAGACTCCGGACTGCACAGAAGCTGCTCTATGGCTGTGGCCCCAGCTGGATGGACACGGCTCGACTGCTGCTGAGGAGAGCTGGGCGGTTGGGATATGATAAGCAGCTCTTTCTCCTACAACCTGAGGAAGTGGACTTGGCCGGGCTGACGCCATTCTACGGCTCTGTTCTGCAGGCGTGGCAGATTTTTAACATTTCACGTAAAGCTGATGAGACTCCGGGCGTGTGGCTGCTGGAGGAACCTTTGTTCTTCAACAGCTTCATTAGAACCCAAACGCTGCAGTCTGCCAGCCTGAGAACTCGTCTGAGAGAAGCCGGCTGCACTAAACTGGGACATTTGGTGAAGATGTCATTAACAGCAGCATCTATGGTCACCTTCAGGCAGAACACTAACATCACGTCTGTCAGGTTGACCAATAGAATAGTGGAGGAGGTCTGTGCCGCCCTGCCACAACGCCTGAGAGCAGTTGCAGGAAACTGTACTCTGTCTGACCAATGGGATGAAGAGAGTGAGTACACCCTCCCCACTCTGCTCATTGCCCCAGCGGTGGGGGACTGGCAGGGGGGAGGAAACAAGCTGCTGACGTTCACAACCCCTCACCTGGACAAGTTTCAGGCAGCAGAGAAAAATGCTATCTATGAAATCTGTGTAAAGGTTGTGAACCTCCGCTCTCTGGCAGGGTTGACAGAGTCGAGGTGGACCGAGTTCTTTGGCCCAGGTTCTTCCCCGAGAGGCAGCTGGAGGTGCATGTACAAGCTGCCCGTTGAAAAACGGACTATAGAGCTATAGCCACCAACAGATACCGGGCACACCTGGATCCACAAATTGGGGAGGAGTGTTATTTCTGCGGTCAGACTGAGACCCTGGAACACTTGTTTGTTCAGTGTCCTCGGCTCTCAGCACTCTTTGAACGGTTAAAAAGATGGATTCAGGGTCTTGGAGAGGTTTTTTCTTTTATGTTGTTCATCTTCGGTCCAAAATACTGCTCAAAAAAGAAGGCTGTCCACACAATGGTGAACTTTTTATCTGGTTCTGCCAAGTTGGCCATCTGGTTGACACGGAAGAATCGGGCTCGGGGTGCCGGTAGTGAGGATCCGGTGAAAGTTCTGGAGGGACTGTTGAAAGCCCGACTCAGGGTGGAACACACCTACTACCAGACAGTGGACGATTTACAGGCTTTCAGGGACAGATGGACTACTGGGAGCATTTTATGCTCAGTGGGTGCGGGTGGTGAACTTCTGAACATATTGATCATTGAAATTGATTGTTTATTTGTTCTTTGGTGCTTTATTTTTTGGTTATTTGTTTTTATTTTATTGATTTTCTGATTATTAAGAGATGATTTAGAGTGTTTCTGTTTTTCACTGCAATAGTGAAATAAAGGGACTTTAAAAACCAAAAAAACCTCTTCCTCTCTCTCCTCCCTGTTGCTCTAGTGATGCTTTCTGTTCATGATTTTAACGTAGACCTGAGGTTAATTCAGAAGAACAGGGCTAATATATATTTTCTCATATGAACGCCATACATACACTCTAAGAGACATATACTTACACATACGGCATATTCAGCTCTCACGCCCATGTGACTTCCTAATTAACAGTCATCAGTGCTGTAAACTCGCGGTGTGATGTTTCTCTGCAGTACAGCACAGTGGCGACATGAGGACTGCTTTACTCACTAAAACAATCAAGACTGCAAAAGGTTATCTTTTCTTTAATACACCGAATACCCTCCGCAGTATTCCCAGATCGACAAACGACTCCAATCCCCAGCATTCAGCAGCAGTCGTGCCATAGAGCTAATGTCAGTTCATCTGTGTGACTCAGATCGTTTTTTAGGAAGAAGGAGCACATTGAATGCCAGTGTGACTCATTTTAACCGTTGATAGCAGCAGTCAGGGATTCTAGTCCAATCTACTCCTCACGGTCTGCTGGCTGTCTGCTCTGTTTGTGGGTTCTGATGTGTTCACACACTTCCTTGGCTCTGTAGATGGGAAGCAGCATAGGGCATGTGTGACCTTGCACAGGACAGTGATGTACAAAGAGAAAGGCAGTGGGAGCAAGAGGAACAGTCCATTTCAAACGCCAACAATCTGTTTCTAGAATAGCTGACTCCACCTTCTAGACTACAGTTTTGAAGTTGGCTGCAGAGCCGACTGCAGTTAGACGTAAGACACAAGAATGAGACCTGACTTGAGTTACTAAAGATTTAGTTTCATAAAACTTCTTTTCGTAATATTTTGACTTCATTCTCAGATTATTAACGGTGGCCCTAAAGCTCCATGGTAGTCGACCGACTTGAATTTGGCCTTTATGTTTATATTTATCTTATTCTTATTCTCGCTCTTATTTTGCGGCTGTATCAGAGCAGCTTTCGCCGTGTTTATTCCAGTCCTCCCCGGGACTCCTCCTGCACCATCACTACCTCTGAGCTAAAGGCACGGCTGCCTACAGCGGGTCGTCTTCCACTCAGAAGAAGCGGTTCGATCCCCAGCTCCTCCATGTCGATGTGTCTAAATGACCTGGTGTCAGTTGTGTAAAAATACTATTTACTGTAGAGTGTTGACAGTAAGAAGTTGGATTGTTGTGCCATTTTAGTGATCTGCATTCATAGACCTGAACGAGCTGTATCTTGCTCGAGTTAGCTTATCCGTCCATCTGTTATCTTTAATGGCTTTATATTCACGGTGGCGTGGGGCACGGAGCTGATCCCAGCGGACATTGGTCAAAGGCAGGGTTCACCTTGGACAGGTCGCCAGACTATCGGAGGGCAGGCCTGCTTATGAAGACTTGTGAACAGCTGTGGCTTGCATGCTGGTCAGCTTTTCTGTTGGGTGATATCATATATTTGTTTAAAGGAGGCTTGTGGCTCCATGCTAACATAGCTATTAAACAACCAGCTGTTTTGACAGAATTCAGATGGAAGAAGATTGTAATGATTGCTTGTCTTTTAATGGCCATAACTGGTCTTTAATATGGTCCAGATGGTTAAAAAGCTAACTCATGCTCCTGAATCTGTTTAACTTCCCCTCAGCTGTGCTCGCTTGATGAGGTCATGATGGTAAAACATGTTTTCAGTGAGGGGGGGGAGCGCTGATGGTCTGACCTTAGAGGGGCACTTCGCCAATTATACATTTGATGTACAGTTTTTGAGTTTTGTTTAGTTTCATTCTGTTTTAAACAACCTACACAAATATAAACATCGAAACCAACAAAGAGAATGAAAGAAAGAGGAATCACTGAACCGCCTGTGTATCAGTTGTATTCTGTCTTCTATGGCTCTGAAAGAATAACTCTAATGATCATTAGTTATTTCTGCTTAAACTGTGGTTGTGTAGTTTGAAAAACATGGATATTTATTAGGCATGGACATTCTAACAAAAGATGCTACTGAGTTGCATTGTGGGAAGCGGGGTCATTTTATCAATTTGACCCATACAGGGACTAACAGTCAGGATCATCTGACCCAACTTTGTGGTCGTGCGTTGTTAAATCACTGAGTTGACCTTCTACATACCACTGGTTTATAACTTGACCTCATTTACCATCTTCATCAGCAACAAACTGTCTGTTTCTGTTGTTGCTTCAGTTTTGTTCTTTGTGTTTTTGGCGGGATCTTCCTACTACGTAGTTTCATCTCTTTTGAGGCTTGGAATAATAATGAGTGTTTTGATTAACCCTTTGTATGAGTTAGTGTTTTGTTAAATCCGTGACGGATCCTGATTCCATGTTCCTCCAGGTAAGGTGAGCGTTTATCCTGAGCTGGATGAGGAGATCGACTTCCTCTCTGCCATCATCAGTGAACAGAGAACTGAGTCCAGGCTGCCAGGTACAGGATAGGCCACTACTCCACCCATATTCATATGTACCCCTACATCCCTGCTGACATATAACGTTGTATTCCTTATCTCAGCTCCACGCCCCCAAGACTTCTCTCACCCCAAATCCAAACAGCTCACTGAGGCCGGCCCCGCCCACAGAGCGTCTCCCACAGAGCAGCCCACAAACGTCTCGTTCAGCAGCGTGGCTCCACCAACCACCAACCACACTGCCGTGCTGCTCAGCGACCCCATCATCCTCCCCCACCCCTCTAATAATCATGTCTTCATCAGTGAGTCTTCATGTCCTTGGGCCATGAGCTCATTTCCTGTTGGAGTTGTACTTCTTGTGCTTAAAGAAGTAACTGTAGTTGTGACTTGAGTATTGTTGTGAGTGAGATTTGGTTTGATTCGTTTTTTTACAGGTAACGCATGTATGAAAAACAAAAACAAGTATATTAATAGATATTAATACAGCATCTGAGCAAGCATCTGAATGATTTTAAGGGATCATCATCCAGTGGTGTAAAATGTGTCTAAACTAGCCTGGGAGACTGTTTAAGTTCACTTTAGTTCACATCTTTAGCGTCCCACAAGAGGATGTTCATTTTGCAGCAAGGCCGCCTGAAATGTGAACTCAGTAAAAACTCACGAGGACAAGAAGACGTTTGATGAGATCAAAAGTACTATCCACACAATAGAGAACACAGCCTTCTTTGTTACGCTACTCATGATGACACGCCCCTCTCAGTTGATGCCACGCCCCCCATGACAGATCAGGGCCAAAAGTCTGAAAGTGAAAAAAAGATTTGAATCTGAAAAATATAAGACCTCAAATTTAAAAATATATATGAAAGTGGAAAATGAAAATTAATATTTTAATCAAAACAATTCCAGAACTGAATCAAAATTATATTTAACGCAAACAAACTTTTCCTTCACTTATTTTTAGTTTGAATACATTGTTGTATTTTTCAAAGTTCAAGACCAAAACTATTGGCCTGGATTTGGCTCCAATCAAGTTCCAGTGAATTAGAATAAAGAGCTCTTATTATGGAATTAATGAAAGCCTGAACCTATTGTTGAGAAATCTTTATCTCTAATAAAGAGGGAAGGATGTCCGGTTCCTTTAAGAGAGCTCGCACAGATGTTCTCTGATTCAGCTCCTCATGTGATTTGACAGCTAAAGATCTAAAGGAAGACTTCAGTGGTTTCACTCCCCACCTTGACAATGTGGCCCAGTTGATTCCTGTTTCACACATTTATTTTCCTATTTCAAGAAATTGGTGAGACAATTAGGACAGACTGGATTAAAAACAGAGCTTATTTAGGTCTTGATTGCATGAATAGAAACTCGTAGATTTAAAGTGAGAGCCTTATTTAAACTGACTTTCTGCAAAGGCATACGTGTCGTTATCTCTTTAAGTCAACAGCGCATGTAGGGTAACAATTGGCCTCAAGATCGATCAAAGAATACAAAAAGTCATCAGCTGGTGTGATACGTAGGGAGTCAGCAGTACAACACACTGTAACACATGTATCTAGTGTAACTGCACTGGGACTGTGCTTTTAAAATTAGAACAACCGGGAAATCTTTATTCAGTAAAACATTACATCAGGTTCTTTATACTAGCTGCCATCTCCCTGTGCAACCAGTTCCTCTGTATTAGTCTCAGTCCGTCAGGGGGAAGTGTCCTCACACTCACTCTCACGCTGGACTCACAGTCCGCTCCCTAAACTAAAAGCCAGGAATCCATTCGACCTACCCTGATCTCAGTCCTAGAAATAAAATTATGGGAAAAAATATATCCTTAGACAACACCCATCTTTCCAGGAACAGACATTGAACTGTCTTAGGACTACAAACAAGTTAGTATCAGAATTAGTTTACCAGAATGAGCTCCTTTGTGAGATGAAATGTTAGCGCTGCAAGCTCTGACATCTTGGGACTGACCTCAGATCTTTCATGGACTTGTACACAACAGAACTTATGTGTTACTGTCGATTTGTTCTTCCTCACTGCATCACTCTTATCAAAGCTGTTTGTACTGTTGATACTGCAGGACCATTAGCGACACATTGACATTCAGTTACTTTCTCTTCTTTGAGCTCCACGCTCTGCTTGGACACAGCTGCAGAGCTTTCAGTCAGGGACCATGTCTTCCATGGATGCCTACAGATCTAAGCAGCATGCTCTCCCCCTTATTGTGTGCATGTGTCTCTTCTCAGTCATGAGCAGTGTCTTCATCGTGGTGGCGTCGCTGGCTTTGATCATAGCAGGAACCTGTTGGGTCAGGTAAGACATCTATTCCTCCCTCTCTACACGCCTGCACTACACTCATTTCTGTCCCTCTTGGATTTCACTAAATATATAGATATTTAATATTATGAGTCGACACATTAAGGTTACATGTTGAGTATTATTTAAAACTAACTTCAATTTAGGCTACAATAAACAATATTTTCATTGCTGATTAATCTGCCAATAACTTTATTGATTAAATTGATTTATATTATTGGTCCGTTCTGAGATCTCAAGGAGACGTCTTATCGTTGCTTGCTTTGTCTGACCAGCAGTTTAAAACACAGATATTCTGTTTAAACAAAGCAAAGTCAATATTCACATTTGAGCCACTAGAAGCAGAACATTATTGGCATATTTGCTCCATTAATAAATCAACCCTGGTTGTGTTCTACTACAAATAAGAAAAGACAGAATGCTGTGTTTTTAAATGAGGTATCAGACCTTGTATTGTTCAGAGTTTAGTCCTATAGCAGATAGTGCTCTCCCCTTATTCTGTGTTGCAAAATCATAATCTTTAGAAAATTGGATTCACTAGAAATGAGTGGAAGGATCCGTTTAGTTCCTAACATCTTGGAAAAACATCCTGACTTTACATTTTAAGAATGAACCTCAGAGGTTTTATTTTGCATAGTTCTAAAATCTCCTACTTTGCATGCACCAGTGATACAATAATTCACAAAGAAACACCAAATGCTTTCAAAAACATCAGAATTCAAGTACTTAGTGAACTTTGTGTACAGATTGCAGAAAGGTGTTCATCTGACTGAGAAGGGGGAATACTCTGCGTATCGAATGATGAGAGGCCGAGCCTTCGACAGTCTGGTGAGTAAAGGAAAGAAAAGGACTCGTTGTTGAATAAAGCACCTGTTTAGAATACCGACCAAAACATGTTCCATTGTGAATCAATGCCATTGTTCTAAACACTGATATCTTTAAAGGAGCTTTAACATTCAGAGCATCAATATATCATCAAACAACTATCATCTCTGTACAGATATATAGAGTAATGTCTACCACTCTCCCTCTGTGTGTGAGAGGTTATCAGAGCTCCTCCTCTTTGTTCACATAGTTAGTTAGTGCATGTGGACGTGTGAACTCGGCGCTTACAGCCGTCCTGACCGTCAGCGTTGTCGTGGAAGTGTAGCACCCACCCTCCGGTAGCTGTGACCTTCATCTGTGTGGTGTCAGTTCAAAACGCTCCAGAGCTCTTTTAACACGGAAAACATTGTTAAATAGGCCGGCATATCATCACATGTCAACTGTAAGCTTCCTTGGTTGATGTTGGACGCCTCCTTAACAATGTTATCCAACAGCTTCTTGCTGGTAGAACACGCACCTAAAAGAACAAACACACTTGAACACGTGCCGTACGGACACATGCTGGGAAACGAGAGTCGACTGAACAGTGATGCTGGAGGTGGATGAATACCTCTGACTCTCTAACCCCCCCTCCACCCCTTGGTGTGTTGTAGCCTGGGGACAAGAAGCTGGTCCACAGTGCCCAGATGTACCACTACCAACACCAGAAGCAGCAGATGCTCTCATTGGAGAAGTGAGTTACCCTCTGAACCCAGACACACTCATGTCTCTGTGTCTGTCTCCTGTCCCTTGTCCCTGGTCCCTCCCTGCCCTCTCTGCCTCATCGAAGCGGTGTGATCCTCTGAATATGTTATGACCCTGTGTGTTTGTGACCTCTGCAGACACAGGGATGAGCCAAAGGTTCCTGACTCAGGAGCATCGACAGACGAGGAGAACGAGGATGGAGACTTTACAGTGTACGAGTGTCCTGGATTGGCACCTGTGAGTAAACTCATTCATCAAAATCTTTTGGGAAAGTTATAGTGTGTATATCATCAGGTCCGTACAATCATCCACAATGCTGAATCCGTGTTGTCAGCAGGAAACTGTTCACCAAAATTGAGGGAATGAAATATTCGGTCCCGGCTCCCATTGGGGAAGGCAGTGTTCCCCCTGGACATGTGACCAGGCTGTCTGAGCTGACACATAGAAACAGACAAACACTCACCTTCACACCTACGGGCAATCTAGAGCCATCAATTAATCTGAGCTGCATGTCTTTGGACTGTGGGAGGAGCTTGGAGCCAGGCACTGCTGAAGAGGCGGAGCTTAATGCCCAGAGACAGCAGCCTCAAAATGCTCAAACATGACCTCCCACAGTGGGATGAGAAGAGAGCCTGAACGCAGACAGAGGCATGTATGAACCGTCCACACAACGCATCAAAACACTCGAGGACTCATCGTGTGTGGGGGAAGCAGCACTGGTTTCCCATTGGTCGAGGGCCGGGACTGTGCAGCTGACTTCCGGTTCTACGACCGGATGTCACAGAGTTGATAAAACACCAGAGCCACCTGAACGCCCCACCCTTGCCGTCTCACTCGCGTCGGTGTAAGGAGGCAAGAACACAGCTTTGCTGCTTTTAAAGAATCCTAGGTCAGTCTTAGTTTTGCTAAATGAACACTGAACACTGTTTTGTTTTGTGTTTGGATCCTGAGACGGAGAACGTTTAACTTCTCTGCCCCGTTCTCTCCCCGTTAACGTTGACTTTGTGCCGGTTATAAGGAAGAAGAATACCCTTATGTTACGAAGGAAAACTCTGCCAACACAGAGGTGTTATCGTGCACAGCCTGGAGCTGCGCACCTGAGTTTAACTAAGGACTCGAAGGACCACGTCGGCCATTAAGAAGTCATCTCACCATAAGAGGTTCAGCTCGGTGTCTGGGCTTCGTTAGGTCCTTGTGTGTTTATTACCTGGTTTGTTTTGCTGAAGTTACTGTATTGTTATAACGTGTTGTTATGCTCGCTTGACGTCCGAGTCCTGTTATACTGTGTATTTCATACTGATAGATCAGTCACGGCGAGTGGAGCAGGAGATTGTGGTTTTATCAGTAAAAACATCAGAACCGCTCCTGGCCAGCTTCGCTCGTCGGGTCGCTGTCTGACAATGAGTAACAATCTCTTTAGTTTAGTGAGGATCTGCCTTGTTTGGGAGGATTCTTTTGTTTCGTTTGCTTTCTCTCTTCTCTTACTAACCCACACACACGCACACAGTTACACCCGCACACACTGGTTGAGCTAACTACCTCAAACAAGTGTAGATAACGCAATCTCTGTTGTCACTCGCTATTTTGTGGTCTCGCGAGGCGTGGTCACGTGCGGCACTACCCCTCCATTTAGTCCGATCTATCTTCCACGTGTAGTCCCACGTGACGCAGACACGTTTTAAATTACATCAGCTATGTCTGAGTAGCTTCTTGCTCTTCCCCCACACACACACAACTACAAGCATGCACATACACACACACAGACACACACACACACACTCCTACCACATATTGTTTGTTGATTCTAGATAGTATGCTCATAAATGTATAGTAGTTGTTAGTTTTAGATATTAGTTGACTTGATCATTGTACTTTAAGGAGCAGCTGTCTGTGATCACTCTGTGCGTGTGTGTTGTGATAATAACTGATATGTGGTCTGTGCTCGAATTCAAATCTTCACATTTCTTTCTGAATGTGTTAATAGTACTTTGACTATTGACATTGTGAGTGAACACTAATTATGAGACCTCATTTATAGTTTGGTTATTGGTCCCTGATCTCAGGGTGCTGCCCTGTTACTATTAATAATTGTTAACAATCTTACTGACATTAATAATTCTATTGATGTCAATAATTTAGTTTTTCTTATTTGCTGATAACTCAAACGCGCTCCTTAACGATCCAGGACCAGCTGTTGGGAACGAAAAGGAGCGCGTTTGGTTATTAGCAAGCATGAAAACTAAATCATTGATATCAATAAAAGTGTTAATATCATTAAGATAATTAACATATATTAACGAGGCACCACCCTGGGATCAGGGACCAATAACCAATCTCTTGATGAATGTCTCAAAATTGGTGTTCACTCACAATGTCAATAGTCAAAGTACTAATACACATTCAGAGTGAACAATGAAGGTATTAATGCGAGTACAGGCTACTGCATCTAGCTATTATTACAACACATTACACAAATAATCACACAAACTGCTCCTTAGAATATAACAGTTTATAACCTTAACAATGCCAATTAAAACTAATAATATAAATCAAAAAACATCTATTATACGACTACAAGCATACTACCTAAAAGTAACAAACAAGTACGTGGTGTGTGTGTGCGTGTGTTTGTTTTTGTGAGGGTGTGTTTGTGTAGAAGAAGGGGGGAGGGCAAAAGAGAAGGAGCAAGATGGCGGACGTAGTTGCAGAAGTGACTACGCTGCGCAAAACTCCAAAAATGGCGACATACTGTAGTCTCGTAAGACGTAAGTGATTACGCCACGCGAGACATAACAGCGGTGCTGGACCTTTGACTAATTAAGTAAAGCTACTGACGTTACTCGCGGTGGCGGATTTAAACACAACAAAGCACAGCAGCAGTTATGTTACACAACACTGAACGGGACTCGGTGGTCCATGAAATACACAATAGCACCGTAACAGTCCAGTTCAACTTAAAAGAAAAGAAAAGGTTACAAACACACTGACTGATCTCTGCCCAGACTCAAGTCTCTTACTTGAGATTGCTTCATAGCAGTTAGCGTGTTTCCAGTGCACACACGGCACTCCACTGGTTTGGCGAGTTACGCGGTAAACAAATCCTCCGTGTAACAGCGGGAATTAATTCTTCGGAAGTTAAGGGAATTTGTCCCTTCTACGACCGGCAAATGTGGCCTTGAATAGCAAGAGAGCGAGGCGTAGAAGTTATCCTTCTGTTCCTCTGAAGAGCACGGGGATTCCATGAATCTTCCTTCTGCAGGTTAAAGTAGCGGAGCACGGGGCAAGTTATCCGTTTCCTCCTTCGGGATCCAAAACCAGTCTGTTGTTCGTGCAGCAAAGTTCAGACTATCACCGAGGGTTTTCTTTAAAAGCAGCGTTGTGTTTGCACCTCCATTAGCAGCCTGAGTCACATGGACGGAACAGAGGGGAGGTGAGCAGTAATTTATATAGCTTGGTGACGTCATGGCCATGTCACAGTGACATCCTGTGGCCTCATCCAATGAGGCACCAGTGTTTGGTTTGACCCAAATCTTATACATGGGTGAGATTTTAAGGCCTGATGGGGGATAACAGGGATGGTGTGCTGACAACACAATCAGGCTGTTCACTCTCCACGCAGGCCTTCATTTGTTTCAGCCACACGGTGAAGTCCCAACACAGCTCCAAGTAGATCATGAAGATCAAAACAAAAGCAATTCTAATACATTTCATTGTAAAAACACCAAATACGCTTTTCTTTTTATTCCATCTCTAACACATAGCACTGTAGCATATTCGAACATGTCATCATCTATGTATCCCAGAGTCTAACTTCCCTCAACTTGTAACATGATTAATAAATACCAATAATACAGCTACTGATGCTGGATGAAATATTAATATTTATTATAGAGATATGTGCAATTGCTCTGTAGAAACCAGTAATGCTTTCATTAAATGCACTTTGCATACTGGCCTACTCTGTATGTGTTACGTTAATATGAACTATAGATCTACAGAATCTAATTCCCATTCAAACAAAGCCTGAACGTAATTATAACCCAAATGTCATCTCTGATGATGAACTATGTTACCCAGAATATGTTCCTTTCTCTTTAGACCGGGGAGATGGAGGTGAAGAACCCACTCTTTGACGACTCCACCCTTTACCTTCAAAGGCTCTACCAGTAAACCTGGACTTTGAGATGCTTCAAACTCTGTCTGCAGCCTTTATGCATACAAATAGTTACACTTACACGCATACACACTCCACATGGACTGCTGGGCCCAGTCTAACCCTTGTGATGGACAGGATGGATAGTGGAAGGTACACAGAGGAGTAAGAGGATGAGGGGTGAGATGTTCATGGACCTTTAAAGGACGTCACAGGGCTGGCTTTTTGTTTGAAGTAGGAATGGCTTCTGACAAGTTACAGACACATTGAATCTAATATCCTGAGTTAATGGCGTCCAGCCCACAGAGATGTCTGATGCTCCTGAGCTAAGATTAAGTATTTCTATCAGTTCATTGATTGATAGATGGCCATGAATAGCAATGTTTATTAATCAGTAAATACTCACCGCAGGCTTTGGTTTTATTCAAGCATTTTTTAAATGTGATTTTAATATTTCATAACAACACAGTGATCTTCAGTATGATACGTAGCCGTTGTGTTGTCAGTGAAGCTCCTCTATGCATGAACTGATGACGCTGTTTTATTGAAACCTGAGAGTCGATATGCATTTACAGTTTATTCAGTTCAGGTTTCTTGTGTAAACTTGCTTATATATATATATATATATATATATATATACACACACATATATGCACACATGTATATATGTATTTATATATGGTAAATGGTAAATGTATATATATGTGTATATATATATTCCTAAGTGCTGCGTCAAAGCGTGAACTGTTGTTTGTTTGGTTATCGTTGACTTTGTTTGCAGAGTTCCTACATGTGGATGAGACAAGAAGTGTATCAGACAGGAAGTGATGGTCCAGGGTTTACCCATTATATCTGTTATTGTGCAGCACAGTTTGTACCTGAAATATAAGTTTTGTAGATTAAGGTAACAGCAAAGAGTATCTGCACACTATAATATATAGTGTGTGTATGTATATATAGCTCCAGAAGGTTCATTAGAAGTGAACAGGCAATGTTTAAATCCTGCAAAGTCTTCATCAGGCAACACATGACGAAGAGGTCTATGTTGGTATCAAACTGACATCATTCTGTCATCAACCAATCAAACTAATGATTTAGAAAAATACTTTCAATATGACACATAAGACACATTATGGAAGATCAAATCAGTATCATAGAAATCACAAAAATTGATTCATAGACAACATTTAAATATAGTTGAAAATATATTTCAAAGAGATATTGACACATCATAATAACACAACTGACTAACCCTTCCAAGATCAAAGAGACACTACAGGCTAGAAGATCTATTGTCTTCAGCTGAAGATAAAGGAGAACCAGCCTGGCTCTGTCAGAGGTTCTAAGATGTCCCTCCTGACATCAAACGCATCTAATCCAGTGTGCTGAGATAAGGAATGCACTGATGAACGTTGTCTTTAACGATACCAACTCTGTGGCTTGTTTTGATTCAATGACTATAACTAAGAAACGCTGAATCTTATGATTGTATCGGCAGTTACCATGTGACATGTTGGATTGGCGCATCCCTCATGAATATTCTCTGCTTGTACCTTTACTGAAACTGCTTAATATTCTATAGGACTGGATGTACACAACTGCCTTTCTGTGTTTTGTCAATGTTCATGTCGTAGATCATAGATTACATGACACACCCTGGATGATGCTTCAGCTTCAGTGACAGATGTTTGACAAAGAAACAGGAAAGGTGCAGGACTCCTGGCTGTTACTGTGGCCTCTTGCTGTTGTCTCTCAGGAAAGCTGTCCTCTGTGCTCCCCCCTCTTTAGCCTGCTCCTGATGCTTCAGCCTCTCAGCTCTCCCAAAGTGGAGGACCATGTTAAAACTGCATTTGACAGACACATACACGTACAGTGTGTAAAAATAAATATGTACATCATATACCAGGGGGTATTAACACCGGCGTGTTGTAAAGACTGTTTTATTCAAACCTACTGAGCTTGTGGAAGAACGCAAAGAACACTTTATATGGTTGATGGAGGGTTGTTTGCCTTTTCTATACGTTACTGAGCGCTGCTTTGCCTTCAGGAGTGCTGAGCGCTGAACAGAACCTGAAGTGGTTGTCTTGTTTTGACCTCATGAAGGTATTCTCCAACAAGTGACTGAGCTAGCTACCTTTGATACATGAATAGATGTCAGACTGCAGATGAGTTCTACACACGAAGGAGAACTTCTTCACCACCAAGTGTAGCGTGCATGTGGATATACCAGAGCTGAACTGACATGAATAAATATTTATATAGTCTGAAGTGAAACATGGTTTCTTGTCTCTTTTTTTTCTTCCTGTCATAACTGAAATGTTTCATTTACTCAACTCAACTCTGTGGATAAGCATCGACATACAACAAGGACGGCCTGTTCTATGGAGAAAGCTGCCGCTGCTTGTGGAAGGAGCGCTGCCTTCTTCAGGTAACTGTTCAGAAACGGGAGCAACTTGATTCTGTTCACCTCCATTGTTTGTTGGAGGCAGAAGCATGAAAATCTTTTTTTGATAATATGGTTGAACCAACTATTAAAGAGTCATATCTCAGGCTGATGTAGAAAAATGTAAGCAATCATTTAACTTAAAAGTGAAGGCAGTGCTTTTTAGACAATAGCATTTAAATGTGCTTCCTACAGGTTAGAGGTGCTAAATAACAGAGATGATTCTAAGAGGACACTCCTGCAGGCATCAAGGGTCAAGTGGGAGTAGGCTGCTAGTTGTGCCCGTTGCTCAGTGAAGCAACCTTTAGTCACTACGCTCTGCATGTCTTACCTTGCATGGCACGAGATCCTGCGAGAATCTGTGAATATTTAGATTTTTTACTTACTTTGAGCTGGTTATGAAACAGTCTCAATGTAATACTGACTCATCTAGTTCCATATATTAACTAGTCAATCAGCAAGTAGATTTGGCCATTTTTATCATTATTTCTAATGCTTGTCCTCCGTGCAATCGTGTTCTCTTCCTGTGAAATAAAGGTGCAGAGCTCTGCAGGATGTCACTCGGAGCCGGCAACACGCTAACCAACTCAAATATGGTAACTGGTACTTGTACTTGTACAGCCGTACTTGTATAGCTGTACTTGTATGTACTTGTATAATGCTTTTCTAGTCTTTCCAACCACTCAAAGCGCTTTCACAATACTTGTCATCATTCACCCATTCATAAGGGGCTACCATACCACCTGCCCATCAGACTATCTACATCCACACAATTTTAGGGTTAAGTTTTGCTCAACAACACATCGACATGCAACCAGCGTGATAACTGAAGGTTCTGGTTCCAAATCTACTTTTGGAGCTACTATAAGCTCCTTAAGATATGATGGTGTCTGACCAATCAGGGCTTTGTAGGTGAGGAGAAGGATTTTAGATTATAGTCTAGACCCTCTGTAGGATTTTGGTTCCAGTAATAAGATCCTCCCTTAACCAAAGGGCTTTTGTTGCCTAAACCTGAGCACAGACAGGACCGAGGATGTGAACCCTGATCTCTGCTCTTTGGTAGACCTGCTTTTACTCTAGAAATGAACTTGTGCGTTCTTGTTCTTGATGAACAAAACAATGAGGAGCAGAGACCAGAGAAATGTTGCTCAGTTCATTGTAGTTCAGGTGGAAAGTCAGTTCAGTAATAAAGACTTCACTCAGTGTGCTGCTTGAACATAGAATCATATCTTCAGTGAAATCAAAAGAGGAAAGCAGCATTGAAGCTGTTCTTGAGGCTTGTTTTTGACCCCACACTTTATGTCTGTTAGAGGCATCACACTCTATTCGGACCTGAAGTACATGAAGAACTGTGGTGAAACAGGAAGCTGATTCAAATGCTTTATTGAAGCAAAAGAAGCATTATCACCACGACAACACACAACACTACAAATAACAAGTCCTACATTTTAGAATTACACAACAAAGTTCTTCATGATCAAGAGAAACACTCCTCATGATGCAGAATGAACTCTGATAGAGAGCTATACTATCATAAACATGTTTTTGGATCATTATTACTGATTAACATGTAAGTAGCATTTTAACGCTGCAGCAGGTTGAGATTCTACAAAACAAAGCATCATATTTAATAAGCTCATCACACACTTTATATTAAATATCCAAGTGTGCAAAGAAACTACACTCTTAGAAACAAATGTGCTAACTAGAACCATGGAGGGTTCTTCAGCTCGTTTCAGAGGGTTCTACCAAGAATGAAGTATAAAGAGATTTACCCAGAACCATATGTGAAAGTTTCCACCCAAAGGTTCCACAGAGAACCCTCATATGGTGTCACAGTTTCACCCAAAATCTTCTCTGGAGGTTCTATGCAGAACATTTCCACCTTATAAGGTTGCAAACAAGATCCCACCTGCGTGTCTCCACCAGGAACCCTTTTGTATCCCACGGGTTCCATCTAGAACTAACTGTGGGTTCCTCGTGAGGTTTATAAAGAACCGGGGCTGACGTGGTGCAGCACAATTCTGGCTTTTTTTAACACCTCTGCTTTCAAAAACCCTTGAAGAAGGAAAAGGTTCTTCAGAAGCAAATGGTTCCGGGTAGAACCTCAGCCCTTCAGGAAGAACCTGTTTGGAACCTTTATTTCTAAGAGTGTAGAAACTATAGCTGACAGATCAATGTAGTGGAGTAACAGTCTAAAGTAGCATGAAATGTAAAGACGTTACTTCACAGCAAAGGGTCAGTACTTAGGTACTTTGGTACTTTCTACCATTGAGAGGAGGAAGAGGAAGAAGAGGAGGAGGAGGAGGATAAAGGAAGCCTCTGACCAGAGTGGACTCAAACACCATTAAAGCTCATCTTTATTTGGACACGTCTCCTTCTTCTTTGTCTTCTTCTCTTCCTTGTGGAAGACTTTTCCATCCGACTGCTTCTTCCAGCTCAGCTTGATGTCGTCATTCAGCCCCTGGTCCTTCAGCCTCTGTTTGAGCTGAGATACAAAGACATTTACTTCCTGAATGTCGCTGAGAGAGAAGAAGTCTTCACTAAGCGCTGTTCATTTACATCCTGCATCCTTTCTCACACTGTCCTCATGTGGAAGCTCTGCTTTAGAACTCTGGTTCCCACTAGAACAGCTTTGTTGTTTGCATGTTCTTTGGACACAAGTCTACCTTCAATAGTGACGTATACACGTGTGCACTGCACACAGCTCATTTACATTGTTCTTAGTAGTCCACTCAATCACATGTATCACCTGGTTGTTCTGTTTTTAATGTTAGAAAGATGTACCTTCTTCAAGAGGTTCTCCATCACCACAGCGTCATTCAGATCCAGAGACGCGCTGTTGTTCTGCACCCTCACTTTAATCACTTGCATTGAAACAGGAGCAACTAAAAACCAACAAACTTCATCAGTCACAACATTTCTGGTTGATAATAATCTGCATCCTTGAATTTTTAACACTTTGAATGATAAAACAGAAAGTATGGTCATTCTCCATCAGCTCAATCTTTAAATATGGCTGGTGCAAGAAAACCTTAGCTTAGCTTAGCATGGTGTTAGCGTTAGCATTCTAGCATCAATGAGGCGATCACTCTCCATCATCTGCAGTTAATCTGCATATTCAATGTGTTTTTATCCATAACTTTATTGTCATGGATTTTATTTTGCTCTACTTTTGATATTTTTCTGTATTTTTAAACTCTGTTTGCTGATAAAGTAAACCTAAATCCACATTTAAACACTGAGTGAATGATAGCTTACCACTGTAGCAAATGAACGCTCTCGTGACGTCACAGTTCAAGCCCTCCCATTGTCCATTGGCACTAAAATCTGCTGCTGCACAAGTCTTAGAGACACCATTAGGTTTAGTTTTCCAGTTTCTAAACGAGGAGTCACTTCCATCAGACCACTTCCATCCATCTCTGAAAAGGCCGATCCAGACTGCTTCTCCTGAGGGTACCAGATTCAGGACCTTCTGGTTCTCTGTCATGTTTCTCACACTGGCCAGGTCTGTGTGGTGTTCTCTGCAGTAGCTCTGGGCCTCAGTCCACGTCATGGTGTTGTTAATGAGGACAAATGTCTCATTCAGTCCTGAAAATAGACCAGAGTGAAGTGCTGTGAAGAGACACCATAACAGACAACATGGATGCATACCAGTTGTATTGTTGCTTGATGAATCTCAGCATGAAGGTGAAGTCAACACAGAGCTGTGTGAACATGAACATGCAGGCGTCCATTGAGTCCCACATTCATAAAGACACATCAGAGCTATTTTCCCTCCAACAGACATTATACAAAGCTGCTTAATGAGCCTGCTCCCACAGGGACATGAAGGCAGGACTCACATTCATCTGCTTTAAATGACATTCATGTAGCCCGAGACTAGTTCCAGTTACCATGAGCAACTTTTAACTGGTTCTGAAACAGTGTAGTCCTGATCCTCTATCAGACCTCCATCAGTAAAGAGACCATCAGAGAGAAGATGGTCTGTTTCTATAGAGTTATTCTTAATGCTCGTCATCGGAGCCACCGGGTCGGATTCTGGTGAAACCAGATGAACTCATGCAGGTTCACCAGAACCTCCTTCAGCTCAGACTCCAGCAGAGACCGGTCCACCGTGGACAGACCCGGATCCTCCAGCAGAGACCGGTCCACTGTGGACAGACCCAGATCCTCCAGCAGAGAGCGGTCCACCGTGGACAGACCCAGACCGTATTGCTGGGAGGGAAGGGGGCACGGGAGAACCAGAACCAGGACTGATCAGGACCGACTGTCAGACCCTGCTTCAGTAAAATGAGAGGTTTTCTAAAGGGACTCTGGTGCTCTGAAACACTACCACTTATGTTCACAGGGACCAATAGAATCAACACAAGATGACTGCTTCTCGTAGTAGCTTTAATATTCTCACCTCTGACATCGAAGCAGACTGGCTTAAAGCGTTGAACACAAGGGTAGTCGTTCCAGTACCCATCTGTATACATATATGTACAGTATTCTTCACCGTAGTAGTTGTTGTCCGGTTGTCGAGGACTCCATCGTCTGAACTCCATCTCTCCGGGTTTGTAGAAACTTGTGTTTGACAGTGACCACCTCCAGCTGTCCACGTCATTGTACAGTCCTATCCAGGCTTGCTGAAAGCAATATTTCATTGTGATATAAAGAAATAGACTTTTAGATATTTTTACCATTTACAGTCTCGATACTGCCGATCAGTCTGATTTTCAAGGACAGGTTTTCAATTTGTTCAAGTCTGTCTTAAAACAATATCCAGGTGCTAATATGAACATTGAAACAGTTTTTACTTCCTGTAATCACTCCTGCTGTTCTTAATGGACTAAGCGTCTCGTAACGTGGTGACGGCTGAGCTAACGGTGCTAACAGCTAACAATGCTAGCAGTACAAACAATGACATCATTACTCCTCTATATCTTTACATGGATGATATTTGTTTGATGAGATATTATTGCTGTAAATATAAAGCAGAGATTATCAGTATGTTGCATTAAATCATGTTTTGTTTGTAAAATCTTAATCTGTAAATATGTCACATAAATGTCCCTCTGAAATGTATTAAATAGCATTGAACTTAAATATTCAAGTAAAGTACAAGTACATACTTCAGTACAGTTCATCTGCAGACTTTGTGTGAATGTAAAACTTTCAGACCTCCTGTCACTGATATAATATTACTCACAGAGCTGTCGTCCACCATTTGGCTTGAATGCACCATTGTGTTCAGGGTGTTCACGTCCTCCATGTCCCGTATGGTGGCCAGGTCGCTGTATGTCTCTCTGCAGTGACGCTGTGCTTCAGTCGTGGTCTTCGGTTCATAAACAAAATGGTAGCGACGTTCAGCAGGTGATGAGACGGCACACAGCCCTGGATTGACAAACAGCATATTGATTACATTTAATATTAATAACTTTGCTCACTAATGCAAATGATCATTTCACATTAAAGCAAAAAAAGATGAAGAAAGAAGGGGAAGAAGAATGTGACAGGGACAAATTATTAAACAATATTATAGATATGAGAGTCTTGCCTGACACGACGACGATGCTCAGAAGAAGTTTGTCCATCCTCGTCTCTTCTCTGATCCTCTCTGTCAGTCGGTGACTGTAGACGTGCAGCTCATGCAGACTTCTGGAACGATTATTTGCATATCAGGCTTACAGATCATAAAGATGTAATAATATCTGACTGACCTTTGATGTTTGTTTGATTGTTTCAACACAATGATGAAAAATGACAAGAAGAAACACTGATGAATGATAATTACTCCGTTGAATAACAATAATTATAATCATACAAAAAATAGTAATAATGACAATAATAGTAAATATAATGACAATAGTTGTATTAATTATTATTATTACAAAAGTAATAATAATGATAGTATTATTAGTATTCATAAAATACTAGTTGTGATAGTAATAATACTAATAACAGAAATGATAATAATACTAATTGTTATGCGATTGGTTGAGGAAGTTTTAATAAATATGAATTAAATTAAACAAAATATGTAACAATTATTAAAAACTCAATTGTGAATGATAAAATTAGTATACAAATAATGATAGTACAGCTTTAGTGATACGACACCATTAGTTTAACTAATATCATTTTATCATAAGTTTAATTTTAGGTTGCCACACATTTTTGGAAAAATAGGGAAAACTTACAAATTTGACATCAATAAATGAAATGTTAATCTCAGATGATCAAGTTCTTTATGAATGAAATGTTTATCTCAGATGATCAAGTTCTTTATGAATGAAATGTTTATCGGACTCACTACATAACTAAACTTCTAAACAGAAAATAAATGAATAAATGATAAAATTAAAATAAATGGAATAAATAAAGAACATGATGAAGAGTACAATGAACAACAGAAACAAGAATTTAACTTCTGCTGTTATTATTAGTAGTTGTAATTTCTCCATCATGTTTATGCTCACTACTCATTATATGAATCATTTACATTGTATGCATTGAATGTGTTGTAACTCTGTTATCTATCACACTTCATCCTGAGAGAGGATCCTCCTCTGTTGCTCTCTGAGGTCTCTTCCCCTTTTCTCTCCGTTAAAGGTTTTTTTGGGGGGAGTTGTTCCTGTTCTGATGTGAGGGTCCTGGGACAGAGGATGTCACATGTATAGAGATTGTAAAGCCCTCTGAGGCAAAATTGTGATTTTGGGATATCCAAAAAAGATTGAATTCACTTGAAGTTGAATAACAATAAACCACAAACAAATGAAAAGGATTGCATGTGACCAGGTAGAATCAGTGACTCATGAAAGATTTATGCACCTTCATCAGTTGAGTGTTTGAGAAGCACCAAGGAAGCTTGTGAATACATTTTATATTAGTTTTCATTGAAATTTAATTTAGATCTTTAGGTCTAAAGCTTATTGATCTGTTTCTCTTATATTTGTATCTAATATTATTGTATTATCTCACTTAAATTGATTTGGCCTAGGAAGATCTAACAGCATGATGTTCATTTAGTAAATGATGGTCCATGTAGAGTCAAATAGACCATAAAGCAGGGGATGCTTTAGGGCGGGGCTACTCAGTGATTGACACTACCACGGGGTTGTCCGTTCTGGGAGTTATCCTGGTTTTCATCTTACAACTGTAACCCTTTCACGGTGAGTTTTCAGTTCATGAAAGTTAATTGTAAGATTTTGGTCGCCTAAATATGTCTTGTTCAGCATTTGGTTGTACTTAGCTCCACCCGTTCGTGTCACTTCTGGTTGCAAAAAAACAAGGTGGCCCAAGATAAATTACAAAGAGACGCAAGATATTGCGACTTGCGTAGCCACAGTCCTTCTGGCTCCCCGGTACTGGTCTGCTGCTTCGGGACCCCCGACCAAGCCCAAAAGGGCTCCTTCTTCAGCTTGACAGCTTACTTCACCAGCAGGTTTTCAAGTTGACGCAGCGACAGGCACCAGTGACCTAATCATCGGCAAGAAAACAATCCTCATTTTATTTATATATTTATATTTGACCTTCATTTAACCAGATAAGTTCATTGAGAACCAGTTCTCATTTACAAAGACGACCTGGGCAAAAAGGCAGCAACAGGAGGCAAGTCGTTACAAAACAAAATATAACATAGAGACATCTCACAATCTCATGCAAACATTACAGCATCATAATATGTAAAATATAAAAAAGAACAAACAGCTGACTGTGACATAATCTGGAATCCATTTGTCAATACCCTTAACATATAAACTCCACACTGTTTTCATTCTACACCTCTTTTTGCCGGTCCACCATCCACAATAAATATGCATGGCGACGACCATAAACCATGATGGCAGCGACCATAAACCATCATGGCGATGACCATAAACCATGATGGCGACGACATAAACCATGATGACGGCAATCATAAACCATGATGGCGACGACATAAACCATGATGACGACGACATAAACCATGATGGCGGCAATCATAAACCATGATGGCAAAGACATAAACCATGATGGCGACGACATAAACCATGATGACGACGACATAAACCATGATGACGACGACATAAACCATGATGGCGGCAATCATAAACCATGATGGCGACGACATAAACCATGATGGCGGCAATCATAAACCATGATGGCGACGACATAAACCATGATGACGACGACATAAACCATGATGGCGACGACATAAACCATGATGACGACGACATAAACCATGACGGCGGCAATCATAAACCATGATGGCGACGACATAAACCATGACGGCGGCGATCATAAACCATGATGGCGACGACATAAACCATGATGGCAGCGATCATAAACCATGATGGCGACGACATAAACCATGATGGCAGTGACCATAAACCATGATGGTGGCGATCATATACCCAGATGCACACAGCACACAGGTTCAGATCAGGCAGGCTGTTACTAAATCACCCCCCTCAAGGCATCTCCACCATTGCCTGCGTGACCGTTGAAGTCTCTCAGTAGGACTATAGAGTCCCTGGATGGTATCCTTTCTACGCCGCCACCCAGAGACTCCAAGAAGGCAGCGGACTCCACTGCTGTTTGGTGCTTCAGCACAGTCAGAGACTTCCTGTCAGCAACTCACAATCACTCTTACCCGGGCAACCCCGGGAAAGGAGAGTCTAGACCAGGGGTCACCAACCTTTTTGAAACTGAGAGCTACTTCAAGGGTATTGAGCAGTAGGAAGGGCTACTTGTTTGATACAAACTTCATGAATAACAAAGTTGCACAGATCACCTTTTAATAATAATAATATATGTGAAGAGACTGATCACATGTCAATGTTAATTATTCCTCACAATAATTAACAATGATTGTGTATTTTGTTCAAAATCGCACCTGTTATATTTTTGTAAAAATTATCACTTCTAAAAAATTTTAGGAAATCATTAACTGTCATATCTTCACATCATGACTCGTTTGTACTAACCACTACCTTCGTAACATTTTTGAACAAATCATGAACTCTGTCCCATGTTTATACAAATGATCAGTTATGTAAGATAAAAAAATCAACTCTTTCACATGTTTAAATGAATCCTGTTACATTAGTACTAATCACCACATTTTGGGAAATCTGGGTCAACTTTGCATTGCGCAATGAAGCCTGCATGCCGGCCTGTAGTCTGTAGTCACCGACAACAGCTTTCTTTTGGGTACCTTTTTCTCCACGAAGAAACTAGTAAAACGTCTTTTCTATAGCCGAGGGGGGATCCAACCCTCCGAGGCACGCGAGCGTCTTTGGTCGCCTGCGTTCAAACCTCTAGTCTGGGCCTTTTCGATCGTACTGCATTGCCTCGCCTCTACCCCCGCCACCTACGAGTTGTTGCCCCGCGGCCTGTTCCGAGGACTGACGGACCTGACGACGGGGTGCGCTCGCGGCGGGGGCGGTGCGTCTGGTGCCAACGGGAAGCGCCATTCGGAACCTGAAAACCTAGTGCGGTGCGGCGGCTTCTTCCTTTTAAAATCTACATGAATGCAAGCGTTTTTGATTCAAAAAGAACAGAAACTACAATTTGTAGACGGAGCTCCATGGGGACCTCGTGCTATTTTTAGAACATGCGTTGCGGGCGACTCGCACGGTCGCTGTTGACAACCTCTGTTCTAGATGTTACAGGGAGCCAGTGCAGAGAAGCTAATACAGCAGTAATATGATCTCTTTACTTAGTTCTTGTTAGTAAACAGCTGGAGAGATTTAAGAGACTTATTAGAGCAGCCTGATAATAATAATAAGGAGTTGTAGTAGACCTTAGTGCTGCATTCGACACTATAGACCATTACATCCTGTTGCAGAGACTAGAACATTATATTGGCACTAAACTGGTTTAAGTCCTATTTATCAGATCGATCTCAGTTTGTATAAACGATGAAACCTCGATAAAGACCAACGTTAGTCATGGAGTTCCACAAGGTTCTGTGCTTGGACCATTTTATTCACCTTATGCTTCCTTTAGGCAATATTATCAGAAAACACTCCATAAACTTTCATTGTTATGCAGATGATACTCAATTATATCTATCAATCAAACCAGATGAAACCAACCTGCTCACTAAATGTCAAACATGTCTTAAGGACATAAAAACCTGGATGACCTGCAACTTACTGATGTTAAACTCAGACAAAACTGATGTTATTCTACTCGGCCCACAACACCTCAGAAATCAGTTATGATATAATTTAGTTTCTCTATGTATACAGATTCTTAAGCCCTCGGAGGCAGATTCATGATTTGGGGCTCTACAAAATAACTTGAATTGATTGAATGAATGTTGATACAACAATTACATTCCAGACACAGAGGACATGGACTCAGGTGTCCTCAATGGTAGCCATGTCCCTGACTGACTGTTGACAACTGTACATTAGCTTTAAGCTAACTGGCAACATTTATCTTTGATGTTGTGCATTCATGGAGCAGCGATCTTAAATGTGTCTCTAGAGTCGGGACGTGGTTCTTTGAAGCTGCTTTAATATTAATCTGGAACTGTTTTCAAAACAACAAGTCCTTAAGGCCAAACCTGCAGAAGTGCAGGCGTGTTAATAGTCAACTGTATCATGACCAAGACACTTGAGAGAGAACCCCATACATTTAGTCATTTATACAAATACCTTGCCTTCTTCGATCACAATCAAAGTGTATTGACATAAATATGTTTTTAAGAAATAACTATAATCTGTTGTAATTGTCACAATAGCAAGTGATACCAATAGTTATACATAAGCTAAACAATATAATAGTGTGAGATACTGTGAGCTAAAGCAAATATACTCAACTCAAAAATCTGACTGTTAAAAAACAATGAAGCCAGAAGATATCACATTTAATTTGACATAAGACAATTTGAGTAAACCTGCTTTTTAATTGCTTTTAGTGAGATTTTACTGATACAGCGAGCATGTGTGTCTAATGGGGAGAAGCTCACCATCATGCAACCATCACTTCTTCACTTCTAGTCGAGCTACATTCAAGGATTGATTTTGTTTTTTATGGGCAAAGTTGTTGAAGATTTCCAGTGAATGAAGCTTGATGCTGTAATGATTCACCTCATCTTAACATCTTAATCCACAGAACTGTTCGGTAAAGTTCAACCATTTACTTTGGCACAAGAAAGAATTCTACAGATAAATTGATCATTTCCAGCGTTATGAGAATCGTTGGAGTGTTGCTCCACTCTCAGCTTACCTTAACAAACTCCAGAGTATCAGAAAGAAGTTAAAGGTGCACATTTACTGTAGGAAGGCTAAATCATAGAGGCTATTTCCAAATATTACAAATCATTACATTATGTTAAATATAAACTCTAGCTTAACCTGAAACTACTGTACATATTCCGTCCTCAATTATACTGTTGTTCTATATATGAACATATTGCTAATTGCTAATTAGTAAAACATTAAACTGCATTTAGTTTAATGATATATATTTAAAGTATAAATATCCTTTCGCCCACTAGACAAAGCAATAAATCATCAGCTAAACCAGAAAGATAACATTACTCCAGGCTAGCCCACACTGACTTCCCATTGGTTGTGAAATATGGTTGAGATCCCACATGTGATCTCTCTGACCTCCTGAAGTCTTACGAGGGGTTATGTCATATTTTACTTGTATAATTTGATAAATCCAAGCACTTTGTAGAAAATGTTATGCAATACACAAAAGCTTCTTTTTGTTATCTACTCACTCTAACTCTAACTCTTATTAAACTTAGCTTTGCTTACCCAAGCAAACCCTGACCGTGGAGTCGATGATTAAACACGTTCTTAGTTTGAAGCACACAACAATCTAATTAAGAAAACACTGTCTTTCTAGTATATTTGATGAGCAGATATTTCAGGTGATAGATGGTAAATATAACACTGTTAACATTAATCTGAAGGTTATTGTAAAGAGACGCTGAACTCTGTGGTTTTAACAAATGGAATATACTGTACGTATTTATGGTTACATACAAGTTTCCACTTCTGCTATTTAAAACAGTGCACAGCCAACACAACCAACTTCTTCATATTTGTTTCGGTGGTGAGCAGTTCCTCACTGAGACACGTGTAATGTTCCGTCACATTGTCTCTGTATGGTATTTCACACTTGCATGTGGTAACGGTGGGATCAGCAGTCCGAATCAAAACACCTGAGTGATGTGAAAGCATGAAGAGATCAGCTGTTTACCCAGCTCTCCAGGTCCTGGTAGACTCGGTTGGCTGGTAAACTGGGGTATTTAACGCAGATCTGACACAGACGTTCTCTCCAGTCAGTGTAGGTTCTTATTCTGTGAGTGTGATGCCACTGGAAGTAGCTCTCATAGGCCTGCCTGTCTCGAGCTACATGCTTCAGATAAGAAGCCAGATCTGCTGTGCTCTTGAAATCGTCCACATGGATGAAGGAACCTGGGGGGGGCCAGGGCCTCGTAGGTCGCCCTGCTGGGGCCAATAACTACCGGCACAGCCCCTGCTTGGAAAGCATTCCTCCAGAGCTTTTCACTGATGTAGTCCTTTGCCTCAGAGTTCTCAAAGGACAGGTAAAAAATACAATTTGCAATTGTGGGCAACAGCTTCTTCTTTGACAGAGGTTTCTTGTTCCACTTGCCGTACACCTCTATTGGGATGTACTTCTTTAGACTCTGATAAACACCAGCCCGAGCTTGGTGAGGCCGGTATTTGCTGACCACCCAGCCGACGAGGCAGGAGCGATTTGAAGCAGCCTTGAAACCTAGCTCATCACCTCCTAACACGGTCTCTCCATAAGGGACGGATATGTCTGCATCACGTCTGTAGCTCATCGTCAAATTGAAGAGGCCGTTGAGCTGCGCCAGGTTTGCGTTGTTGACAGGAGGCTCCATGGACAACCACACCCAGTGCTGAGAAGCAGGGCGATCTTGGTGCAGGACAGAAGACTGACCTTCTCCCAGTTCCTGGTGGTGGAAGACAACCACATCAGCAGTGGAGAAGGCAGATGTGTTATCAGTGAGGGAACAGCCACTGATGTTGTACATCTCGAGGCATTTGTCTCCATCGAGCCTGTAGGAGCGGCCAAATGGCCAGTGCCACAGCAGGATGCTGAGGTTTCTCCGAGGAACAGCTGTGTGACATTTCTGCAGAGTGAGTTTCTCATTCAAGTTGCTGTAATAAAGCAGTGATGAGAGAGATATGAAGAGGAGGATGAAGGCTCGGAATCCAGATAATGCCATGGCTGTCGGGCGTATTCCAGGTCGAAAGGGCACAGATCACTGGTAAGGAACTCTTACAAAGGAAGGAAGGAAGGGTAGATCAGAGTAATTCTTACACTTTCATATGTTCCCATCAGTGCAGAACTGCAAAACATCTCCTACTGCAGAAGATATTTAAATCTGTTACCTACCCAAATTATTATTTTTATCTTTAGACAATGTTAGCCTCTTAAAATCCACCCGTCCGCATGTGGGTTAGGGCTGTATTTGGTTGAATGATTGGTATGGAATAAGGGTTTGGGTTCATTTTTTTTTAATGGTGGTGTTAAAAAGGTTTTAGTCAGTTCAGTCATTTGTCAGTTGGCTAATTTTGTTTATGGTTAAACAAATGTGAGCTGCAGAGATGTAACAAACACAAACAAGGTTCATTCACTCAAATCATTAGATATCTGGAAAAAACTGAATGTCAATAAATATCACTCTAGAACTCTAGTAGAACTCTGCATATCATCAAATGATCATCAAATGATCATCAAATGAAATCTACACTGCTGTCTGTGTCTTCCTCCAAGTCTACAGTAAGATCTTAAAATATGCTTATTGTTTCTTCTTCAAATGGAAGTTTTCGAATCTTCAAATAAGCAAAGCAAAGCTCAAATAATTACCTGCATGTATTTATAATAGTGAGTCACTTTCTGATAAGCAATTTCAAACGTCTTTCTTGTGTGTTTGATGATGAGACATCCTGTGAATTGAAACTGGCAGAAAGAGGATTTGTAGAGATGGTGCACCACAAACTCAATCATTAATTCTTCATCATAAATTTAAGAACAGAACATTAAAAAAAGGAAAAAGGAAATACAGAATAACTATTTTAAATAAAATCCCTATAAAACCAGATTTTCACACATTTTCCATTAACCCGACGACACATACAGCAGCATTATATAAATGATCTGTGATCAACTGAATTATATCTGTAGTAAAACATCAGCAGGTGGAATTGAATTAAATAAAAGATGAGGTTGGCAGAGTTGTTGGAACTTACCCGCTGACATGATGGCATCAGGCCGTCTGCTGCCAGAGAGCGTCGTCCTACTCAACACATCCTAGAATATAAAGGAAATCCTGCCCTCACAATGCCTCATGCTTGACATTTCATACTCCCACACACACAGCTTGTCGGGGGCAGGGTGTGACGGTTATTGTACAACGTACTCGGTGGTCAGCAGAAATATGCGACTAGAAAGAGAAAGGAACACCAGTCCTTCATCATGCAGTCATTTTTCAATGAAGCTGTTCTGATGTTTTTATTTTTTATCTTCATACAAACGGTATTAAGAAAGAGTTGGGGTGTGTTTACTTTCATATTTAGCTGGGCTAGGGTTAGAGAGAGGTAGAACCCTTGCCCATCACCACAGACTGCCACCGCACCGTTTCACATTCATTCATTTACTTGGTAAACTGCTCATGCATATATATTTGCAGAATAAGCACAGCCAGCAGCAAGTGGCATTTCTCTAACATTGTTGATTTCCGATTTTTTAACCACAAGCTGGTCTTCCTCTTCCTGTTCTTGCAGCTCAGCAGAGGATACGGGCACAGGGTTACACAACTGCTGCAGGCACCGACCACATCGCAACCGTCTTAAAACCCAGCCTCCCACATCTCGCTTGTTTCTTAAGGCATGACCTTTTACAGTTCGATTTACTCCAATGTCGTGCTCCAACTCACATTCATAATTTAATTCATTTTGTATGTTTCTGAACTAAAGGTTATCTATACAGGGCTCAGTGTTACAGCGGGTCATCCTTCAATCAGAGGATCGGCGGTTCGATCCCCAGCTCCACTAGTCCACGTCAATGTGTCCTTGGGCAAGACACTCAACCCCAAATTGCTCTCATAAACTGTGCCTGCGGTGTGTGAATGTGTGTGAATAGTCCTAATGAGCAGGTGTACCTGGCATGGTGGCCATCAGTGTGAATGGCTGAATGACTTGTAGTGTAAAAGCACTTTGAGCGGTCCAGAGACTGAAAAAGCTCTGAACAAGTACAGTCCATTTATATACTGTCATAATCTGGCTTCTCCACCATGACACATATGGTTATGGACACAATGGATTGCGAATAATTAAATCCATTTATTTTGATGAAGTATACATCTAATTCACTAACAAGGACCACACCAATGACAGTATGAGTTTAGAGAGGTTTATTGCATAGTGGAATGATTGTTAGATTCAAGAAGCGGAAGGGGTCGAGGGATGAATAGATATAGGGTAGAGGGATGAAGGGGAGTAGGGTAGAGGGATGATGGGATGTGGGGTAGGGATGAAGAGATGAAGGGATGTAGGGTAGGGGTAGGGGTAGAGGGATGAAGGGATGTAGGGATGTAAGGAAGAAGAAGAGGAGGGTTTGTAGGAAGGAGTTTAGGCGATCGAAGGGGGACCGTTGATGTCCGGTGGCTGGCGGAAACGGAGACAGTAGAGTGGGGCTTGTCTCTTCAGGAGCTCTGGCAGTGCAGAGTCCCCTGTTGTTCCTGTAATCCTGCGAAAGAGAGAGAGAGGAGAGAGAGAGAGAGAGAGAGAGAGAGAGAAATATAGGAGGACCAGAACGGGGTTGGGGGGGAGGGATGTGAAGACAAGAGTCGAAGAGGAAGTGAACGGGTTCGTTGTGCTTAAATACTCTGTGCAGAGGAAATGAGCTGTGTTCTGGGCGTGGCCCTGTTCCTAAACAAAGTTTATAAAACTACATATAAGTAACTACAAATATAGTGTGTTTCATTGGCATGAATGTGTGAGCATACTGAAGTGTACGGTGTTGTTATTCTAAAGGAAACAGAAATCAAACAATGAGCACTTTGCGATCCTGGTTGATTTTATCCATATCATGTACTTGTTTTTAGTTTCTAATTTTGGGAGCCAACTAATGCATGTCCACACTTCTACGTTTCCTTGTAAACGCATGTTTCACTACGTTTAAACTGAGCGTCCACTTTACGCCGGAGTTTTCGAGGACCGAAAATGGATACGTTTGGAAACGCTCCCGAGGACGGATAAGTTCGAAAACTCCAGAGTTGTTTTGTCGTGTGGACGGTGAAAACGCATAAGTTTGGAAACAATCACGTGTTCGCTACTTGATTGGTTCTTAGCAGTCGCGACGTGTCCTTCCCTGATTGGTTACGCCCATATCACGTGACCCTTTCCCGGAAAATCCCAAACAACAGCCTCGATTACCGATCGACTACCAGGTTAATTCAACATGGACGACTGATTACAGGCAGGGCCGACCATGTTGTCTTCACTAGCAGCTGTTGTTCAGTTAAAGTCTGCATTATTACAGAGGAAGCAGCTGTTATTGGAGCGATTAACGAGCAGCGTTATCAGCCCTACGGAGCGAACGTCTGAAGTCACATTAGCGGCTTTGAGGAGGAGAGACACAAAACGGAGAGTTATCACTAGCAGAGTGAGAACAGACAACAACGAAGCTCAGGAAACGAGTGAGAGGCGTGTGTTGACCACATTTATGGATCCATAATCTAGCAAACCATTATGTGTAAGTGTTCATTTTAAAGTAAATTTGATGTGTGTGTGTGAGAGATAGAGCAAGACCTGCAGCGCTGAAACTAAGTCTGAAAAATAAAACTTCTAAAACTTTCCAGGAAATGTGTCTGTTTAAATTTATAGAGGAAGATTTTAGGGTAATATCTTAAGTATCAAACACGACCTTTCATTCTTAAAGACTACTTTATCATTACTTTATTAACTAAGCAACCAATCTACTTCCTATTTACACCAGCAGCACCCACCCGCATACCCAGTGTACGGGAATACTCACGTAATATTTGTGTTCAGGCGTTTTAGTCTGGATCGTTTTGGTTTTAGTGTGGATGTAGCCTCAGGGTTCGGGTTAGGGTTAGGTGATTGAGGTGATTGAATTCTGGTGCTGGGAACCAGCGACAGAACTCCTCCACTGTCAACCACTGCTTCACACTATGCCGCTCCATCTCTCATTGAGACCCTTAGGATATGTGGTGCCTCACTTTGATATCCAGATGCTCTCAGCTCTTAGCCTTTGGGGTATGTTCCTTCTTGGATTGGTCGGTATAACTGTTGTGCTAATGGAGTATGTGTATTTCTTCTTTTCTGAATATGAAATCTGTGTTGATTGAATCAAACTAATATCGTGTAGCCGGTTTCACCCACATTACAATGTGGTCTGAAATAGTTACAGTTTTTGGATTTGGGGCTCCAGGTTTGTGTTGGAAAAATAGTATCTGTTATATTGATTACGCAGCCCTTGGTTTTAGGGTTAGTTTTACCAGGTTTAACCAGGTAATCTCGTAGATTTGTATTCCTCCTAAAAACTGCAATAATATTGTGATCCTGTAGCAGTTGAGTACCTTTATTTGAAGTCTTCAGGTTGTTTTTAATCACTCTGACAAGCTTGACTGTTGACAGAGAATATGTGATAATAAATGGAGGCTTAGAGGACACCACTATACGCTTGTTTCTAAGAAAAGACCTAGAGTACCACCTGTTGGCCAAAGCTGAAAAAAGCAGTTTTAATATATCTACAAAAACGAGTAAATATATTATTTGAAATTACGTCTCATCTTGTGAGGAAAAAGCGGTTGTGGGTATGAAAGTGAGTCCTTCTATTATCTCCAGCTTGACTTGTAAGGGAAAGACTGTCTCTGTCTCCTCAGCTGTAACATCTGTCCTTGTCTCCTCAGCTGTAACATCTGTCTGCTTGTCTCCTCAGCTGTAACATCTGTCCCTGTCTCCTCAGCTGTA